TCTGCAATCTTCTTGTAATTCACTTATGGGATCTGGTCATCCCACACCCAACCTCACAGCAAAATAAATAGCTGTAAAATCTAAGAATAATTTTGGGTGAGGTGTTTATAAGGGAAAAATATGTAGTACGTGTTGAATCAGTATAACATCCCTTAAATCTTTGGAGAGGTTTACAAAGCATGTTGGCCTCCACCATGGATTTCTCTGTGAGACCCAGCATCACAAAAGCTGCACTCATGTTGGTACTCCTACTTGTTAGCACAGCATTGGGCTCATAGGAGGTCCACTGTGCTTATAAAACTGAACCATAAGCTAGCCTTTGCTTTTTGTTTTAATTTTCTATTGAGTTTTGATTCCTTCATTAAATCTGTGCCTTTCCTTCAATCATTTTATTTTCATTTCACTGAAACAAATATAAATCATTCACTTCCTAGTTCCTTCTCCCTTCCAGCTCTAATTCTTGCATAATCTCTGTCCCCAGGGTTTCAGGCTTCTCAAATTAAGAAAATGAATCTCCTAAATACACACACACCAAAAAAAATCCCACCACCCTTGCATGTACCCTTTGCACGTAATTTTAACCGTGTAAGTCTTTCACATCATTTACAATCATGTGTGAGGGAGCTCCTCAGAGAGAACATTTCAACCCACAATGAATACTGATGCCTCCCAAAGGGCAAGAGCAAGTTTTGTTTTCATTTCATTTTGGTCCTCCTATTAACATAACTCTCAATGACCCTGTTTTTTTAGTTACGAGATTGTTTGGGCAATATCACTATTAAAGACAAAAGAAGAAAATACCAAATGCTGGCAAGGATGTGCAGTGATGGAAACGCTCATACACTGCTGGTGAGAGTACCTTGATATAAACCCTTTGGAAAACTGTTTGACAGTATCGGCCACGGTTAAACATGTGCATCCTAGGTATATACCCAAGAAAAATGTGTGCCCACATGCCCCAAAAGACATACCAAGAGTGGTTGTAGCAGCATTAATAGCACAAAACTGGAAACAATCCATCAGTGGCAGAATGGATAAAATATGTGGTACAGTCTCATATAAAGCATACACAGCAGTGAAAATAAATCAACAGGCCGGGCGCAGTGGCTCACGCCTGTAATCACAGCACTTTGGGAGGCTGAGGCAGGCAGATTACAAGGTGTGGAGTTCGAGACCAGCCTGACCAACATGGTGAAACCCTGTCTCTACTAAAAATACAAAAATTAGCTGGATGTGGTGGTGCACACCTGTAATCCCAGCTACTCAGGAGGCTGAGGCAAGAGAATTGCTTGAACCTGGGAGGCGGAGGTTTCAGTGAGCCAAGATCGTGCACTCTAGCCCAGGCAACAGAGTGAGACTCCATCTCAAAAAAACAAAGAAAGAAAGAAAATGAATCAATAGTACATGCAACAACATAGAGGAATTGCCACCTGACAAAAGAATACATGCTGTATGATCCCATACAGATCCCATTTTATCTGTATATAAACCTCCAAAACAGATAAAAATAAATGGTAGTGTTTATTAACTGTAGTTTTTTGTTTTTTGTATTTTTTAGGAATTCAAAACAAACTGGTAAAATTATAAGGAAAAGCAAGAAAGTGAGCACCATAAAATCAGGAGACAGCGCCCTTTGGGAGGAGAGTGGGGGACTTAGGATCAAGGAAGGCTTTGGGGGGGCTTCCAGAGTGCTGGCAAGACCCTATTTCTTGACATAGGTAGTAATCACATACAGTATCACTTTATACAAATCTGTTAAACTGTATAAAATTGTTTTGTGTGCTTTTCTATGTGTGGTACTGAACAACTAAAAAGGTTAAAAGGGGAGAAGAATCAATACAAAATAGCTTATCAAAAGCTTTTTAAAGGTTTGCAGCTGGAAAAAGCAGTGGGGTAAGTCGGTTTTGTTCCACTGAACAGACTGCAAATAAGTGGTGGCTATAAGAAGACAGATTTTGGTAAGACCAAATGACGGCAACAAAGGGAAGAGGAAGAGGAGAGAAGAGAAGAAGAGAAAAATGAAGAGAGGAGGCAAAAAGAAAGAAATGGGTTCAGAACTACAGTTGCCTACGAACAGAATATTCTATGAACAGAAAGTGAGTGCCCCATCACTGACGCTAGTCAAACACAGGCTGAGAAACCACGGGGAGGAACGTTCAGGAGAGGATTCAAACAGTGGAAAAGAATTGTATATCATGTTCCTCCAGAACTAAGATTCTGTGATTCTATTTCTTTCTCAACAGTTATAGGTGTGGCCACTTAGAGAAACAGAAAAACAGAAAAAAAAAATTATGGTCCAAATATCCTAAATGTATAAAGCAGATACTCTAGTAGATTTTTAAGGTTTGTTTATGAGCCATTAACTAATCAAAAATAAAGGGAAGGGAAGAATTGAAGAGCTTCAAGGAAATGCTCAAGAAACCACTGCCAAGTGGGGTCCAACCATAAATGAAGAGCTGGTGTCAGAAACAATGAAGCCAAAGATTCAATTGACCCACAGTGTTCCTCAAATGCACCTATTCTTTTAGGGTAGAGTATTAAAACAAATGAGTTGCATACAAACCATGGAATTTGGAAGCTTTATTTCCTTAACATTAAATCACAAGGCTTCTTCCTCTCAATTCCCATCTAACATCAGCCAATGGATTTAACTTCTTGACACTTTCAGAGAAAGATAGCTAAGCCTTGGCTGAAGGTTGTCTTAGAACATTTTGCAAGAAAAAACAAGTTCTGTTGAGCTGTTAATAATCCAGATTACCATCCATTCCCTCTTTTAGAGGCACAATGGATTTTAACCAGTTTTCTGTTTTATAAACATTATCATGGCTCAAAACATCCATGAGGAGGCACAACATTACCGATGGCTCTCATCCTGTTTGCTAACTAATTACATCAACAACCTGAACCAACTTAACACTATGCAAAAACACGGCTGATTTAGCAATCTGTAAATTATACATGTACATAAATCTGTACTAAAATGATGCTGTGTTTCTCTCCTGCTAATGTGCATGGATTCTTATTGGCACCTACAATTGTTTGATATAGGTTCCTGAACACTAAAACATATGTTCTGCCTAGAATGGGACCATTTAGAGTAATATTTTTGTAGATTCCTGGCACCAAGGTCTGCCAGCCTTTCTAAGACAGATCTCCTATTTGCTTCAGCGAACATTCTGACAAGTGCCTGCAGACTTAAGCAACTATCAAAAAATATTCTGTAACAACACTTTCCAGCCATGAATATAAAGGGAAACAGGCTGATTTTGCCTATGTGGCAACAAAGCCAGTAGGTTTTAAAATGATCACTGACATAACTATAAGCAAAATCAAATAAAATACGGGATATGAATTATTCCTGTTGCCTACTTACAGCAATAAAAAAACAGATAGTTATCAAATCTTTCCTTCAAATGGGATTCAAAATGTACCAAAGAAAGTTAAAGTAGATTTTAGTACCAGCAAGGTCAGTAAATACCTTAGAAATGTTTTTAAATACAGTGACAGGCCTAACTAACAGTTGCAGCCAGTCAACACTGTAAAACAGGGGCAAGAACCTTGGACTAAGAGTCACTAGAATGTAATTCACTAATCACAAGGAGGGTTTCTTGTTTACCACTATATCCTCAGTGTTCCATAAATACATTCAATAAATGTTTGTTGAATGAATAAACCAATAACAACTGCCGGCTAGTCCCTGACCTGTCTGCAATTGTCTTTTCCTAACTCTGCCTCTTACTAACTGTAGGTGAATCACTTCAACTGAAGATTCTTAGGTGAGTTTTAGTTTAAGGATTTTAGTTCCTTAAACTCTAAAATGGAGACACTGCACCTCTTCTATTAGCTTATGAGGATCAAGGGTGATATTCTATGAAAAGTGACTTGGTACTTTATAATGGGGCACACAGATGTTAAGTGCCCATTATTCCCGCCTATGCCTTCAGCTAAACCACTGACAAAGGTGAAAAGACTGCACTTCTTTGAAATATAATTAGCCTCTCCTTTGCCCTATTATTCTGTTTGGATGTGGTAGTGTGGCTGTTAGCCAAGATGGATATTGTTCTTGTTGTTATAACATTTTATTTAATCTCCACTGGAAAATTATGCTTCTTGAAAGAATATAATGGTAACATGAGAAAAGTGTTTTTGCATGGTGTACCATAAAGAATATGACATTAGAGTCAAGCAGATTGGGGCCTCATCAGTTCTGCCCTTAAATATTTGCTCTTGCTTCCATTTCCTTATTTATACAATAATAGGGAAGGAGAGGCAGACTAGATAATATTTAAGATCTGTCCCTTCCTACACTTCAGATATTCCAGACACCAGATATTCAAGTAACCCAATACAAAGTCAGTACTATTATTCATTATCATATGAGAAGTTTTTAAAGGGTGATAAAAATAGTTCCACAGACTACGTCATAAAAGGTGGAGAAATAATGATGCTGAGAGAAGGACATATGATAGATATCCTCCAAGGAGCACCAGCCTCAGGCATTGCCACTCAGAATAAGCCACTTAATATTCCTATGACTCAGTTTTCTCACCTGTAAAAGAGGAACATCAATATTGCACAGGACCACTGGGAGAAAATACCTCGTAAAATGATCATAAAATATTGCCATTCAAAGGTAAAATGCTATTTTAATACTGCAATGTCCAAAAAAAATGGCTCAGGGATTTTAGAACGAGACAATCAATATCTTTAAATAGACTTTTTCCATCACAGTAAAATAGTATAATACAAACAGATATTGCGGTATTTCTAGGAGTCCACATTTTTTCTTCCATTTGTGTTTGGGAAAAATTAGGAAAGGGATCACAAGAAAATATTAGGTCCCACATTTCAAGATGAGAACCATTTCTTCTGAAATGATAATTTTAAAAATTCATCCAAATCCCCCAAGATGTTTCATTTTTGTTGATGCTATTCATTTGACTGGTTAACTGAAATCAACCTGCTGAAACCAATGTTGAAATGGCAATGCCCATCCTAAAAATATTCCCAGTAACTTATTCTATTGACATTCTATGCTTACAGAGGGAAAGTGGCTCTAATAAGATCAACTAAACTAGACAGTATTCTACCTTCACAGCTCCAAGATTCTAAAGGTTCTCTTACAAACCCAAGGCATCTTGTGGCTTTTACATGTAAGTTTCTCTTCCTGCTCCCTCCACTCAAAAACACACACACACAGTATACATTACATACAGGGTTTCCGCTCTAACTTACAGGACGCTGCCTCTTTACTGAAAAATAGAATTGTCATTGATATTTATGAGAAAGTTGATGTCACTGACAATGGGATCCCAAATTTGCAAGATTGTCTCCCTACCACTTAACAGGCCAATAACAATCGCAATAATAGCACAGTAATTCTTAGTTATCTTATTTAAAAATCCATGAACATCTCCAGCTTTTTTTTATGGCAAAACAGTTCATTGTGGCTGTTCACATAGTGATTATCATCCCCTTACATCCCCAGGTAATGACTATGACCTTGACCTAAAAGCCATGTTAGTTAATTGGAATAAAGAAGACCTTGAAGGGAAAGGTAACTGACCAGAAACACTCTTAAGAGGCACACAATAAAGAAATTATCATTTCTAAGAAAGTACTTAAATAATACATGATGATTTGCTATGCTAATTGATGTGTTTTATTATGACATTAAATCACTTTTTAATTAAAGAGTATTTATTAGTGGCATAAGTCTCTTTACATCACCACGCTCCCCGGAATCCCTAACTAAATCCAAACAGAAGCTCATCATCTTACACAGAAGCTCCTTCGGCTCTGAAATCGTGATATTTACACATTATTAAAACCCACTTCCTAAGTTAGCTCCTAATGTCCCCCTGGTAGAAGAATGTCATCTGTTTCTGGAAGGGACGGGATGGGGGGGGCCTAGGAGTCTGCAAAGAGCATCTTATGCTTGGCTGCCTTTCGCTATAGCCATTTGATGAGCTGGCGCGCTGAGCCTTCCAACTGCCAGGACTCCTATTTGCTCTGCAAGTGCTTTAGCTGGGGTCTCTCCGCTGTGAGTCTAAAACGCGTTTGGAATTCTTTCTTTCCATCCCTCCTCCTATACTCTCTCAAGGCTTCATGCTACCGTTGCTCTTAATGCCACAAGGAAAGAGATGAGTGCCGAGGATCAGTTTATTGGGTAATTGATCTATTTATAGGTTTGGTGAGATTGGGAATTTCTAGGTGAGCAACACTTAAGGGTGGTGTAAAACACAGCTGTGGCTTTGGAAGAGAGGAAATACATAACAGGTTTGTACCTGTGACCATTTAGTATGCTCCGCACCTGTGCCCTCCACTTCCCACCTGACGCCAGGAAAACCCTCTGCCCCTCACTTCGAAGGTGAGCCTTAACTTCACCTCTAAAGGGGTGGGTGGGTGAAGGAGTGGAATCAGGCCCCGACAGCACGTCCCCCCACCTCGGACTTTTCAGTTGCAGGGATGGAAGGTGGAGGCAGCCGCATCCTCCCATTCTGAGGCGGTGGGGACCTGGAGTTGCTCGTCTCTACTGCTGGCTCTCCCTGGGCAGAGGTGGTGCCTCCGGGAGCAAGCCCGAGAGCCCCAGAGCGTCCGCGGAGGGGTGGGCAGTGGCGATGGGACGCGCGCTGCGCTCCGGCTCCGGCCAGCTTTCCATCACTTTTCCCAGTACTTTGCTCAGCAGCTGTCACGCACCCTTGGAGATGCGACCGAGAGGGCGCAAGAAAGGCCCAAAAGGCGTCCCCAGAAGAGCTTTCCTGTTAGCATGGGGGCCCATCAGACCCCGCCCCGCCCTGCCCACCGTTTCCCTGCCTCGGGGAGGCAGCCCTAGGTGCCCGCGCCGCGGCTCCTTAGCAGAGCTGGTGGGTTCTGCTGCATCTGCTGGCTCCGAGCGGCGAGAGGCTCTGCAATAACGGCACGGATAAAACGCCTGGGTCACCGAAATCGAATGCACCGCTTACCATTGGACCGCCGGACAATATTCTCCAGAAACGTGTTTTGCGGGGCCACCAGTCCCCTCCTGCCCCCGGCCATGGTCATCCTCCCAGCAGCTCGGGGTCCGGGGGGCGTCCTGGCGCGGCTTCTCACGGCAGCAGGAAACTGGACGCGGGGCCCGCACGCAGTCCCGGCTCGAAGCGCCCCATGCGCCCCGCGGGGACCCGCAGGCAAGGCTGGCGGCTCCCTCCGGCTGCTACCCTCGCGCCCTCTTCGCGCCTCCCTCCCTGCGGCCAGCCTCGCCTTGCACTCGCGCCGGCCTCGGCTCGCTGCAGCCGCCTCCGGGTGGGCGGAGGGAGCAGCGGCGCCTGGGCCGGCGGCGCCCCCTACCGGGCTCGTGCCCCCCGCCTGCCTGCGGGAGACCGAGCAGGGGGCCCCCGCAGCGGCCGGGAAGCGGCGGGCGGCCGCGGGCCAAGGCTGGGACGGCAGCGCCACCCTCTGGCCAGCCGGGAAATGTGTTCAGGATGCGCCTTGGGCTGGGTGGAGAGGAGGGCACTGTGAGCAGCTCTCAGGGCGGTATCGCAAGTCTTGGGCGAGCGTGGTGATGTAACTTTGCTCTGTTTCAGGCCGGGGACCCCGGGACCTCTGAGGCTCTGGAAACACCTTCTTGCCTCCCTGTAATGTTTGTTAGCCTGAGTAGTGAAAGTTGCCCCACCTTGATTCTAAGCCAGTGTTTTAGCAGTAATTAATGAAGTTGTATTGCAATAGTGCAGATTTACAGAGTGACTGGCAGATTCAGCTTCAGAAGAGTTGTCTTGGGTTGTTTTTACCATAGACACAAATGCGGGCTCCTGATGCTTGGTGTGATCAGTATCAAACTGCCTGACATCAAAACGGTGGCCTGGTCTCTACGGGTGAACGCTCAGGGGAGGGGCAGCGTTAATTAAGCAACTGTGGCTTTGGCTTGAAGGGTAGTCTGCAGTGCAGAGGATACAGTTAGTTTTTACACCCCACCACTGGTATAAGGAAGAACCACATACACCCAAGGTTTCCGGACAGGGGCTAAGACAATAGTTGTTTCTTCACTGATTTGGGGGGATTTTGACCCACACATACTCTGTACCTGTTTTTTTACTATGTATCCCCAGTAGGTGTGGTGGGAGACTAAGTCTATATATCGCAGAAGAAGAAATGAATGGAGAGCTTACTGGTTTCAGCCTGAGTCAACAGTCAACACAAAAATGTAAGAGGAGAAACAAAGTAACCCTGAAAATTGTCTGGGTTAGCCTTCCTGACATAGCCTAATCAAAGACATCTTATTGGAAAGACATCCTGTCTCCATTAATTAATCTCAAAAACAGAAGAACGAATTCTTGCCCAGAAATCTCTCAGAGTTGCTGTGAAGATCAAGCAAGATGATGCATGGGGACAGCACCTTACATTGTAAAGTGCTGTGCCAAGGTCAGATGTCATTATTGGAGTGGCTAAATAAATTGGGCTATTACGAACATCACTCTTTGTCTCCTCTTGTGTAGACACAAAGTAAACAGATTGCTATTAGCAGACAGTTAGATAAGGCTGTCATAGGCTTTGAAATGAAAGTAATGATACATTTCTTCCTTAAGGTAGCCTTCTGCCCATCGCGTGCTACCCAGCCAAGAACTGTGATTTCTTAAACCCTAGCTCCGTCTAGTGGTTCTTTGTTCTATTACAAATGAGATAACAGTGGCTGAAGAGAACTTGACTCTGAAATGTGTTTGGTACTGAGCTGAGTCGGTTTGTTGCCTATCCACTTCATTTTAATAAGCTTATTTAAATAAGGTTTTTAAGGTTGTGTTATTGCACAAACATGCCAAAGGAAGATTTTTCATGACAATATTAAAAACCCATCAAGAAACCTCATAATCCTGCCTGTGAAAGGAAGATAAAATAATGCAGAGGGGGAAACGATCATAGAGAATTAATACAGTTTCTCAGGTTTTAATGAGCTTACATGTTCTACAGCTTGGATAAAAAAGGAAACAGGTGATTTTAGTTTGAGATGAGAGAGGTTAAAGCCCTGGTAGGTTACCAGATAAGAAAAAGAAATAAGGCGATGTCTTCCATTTTAAGTGTACTACTGAAGTGGATCTCAACATGTACTGTGCTTGTGTGTCTGTGTGTCTGTGTGTGTGTCTGTGTGTCTGTCTCTGTGTGTGTGAGTGTGTGTCTGTCTGTGTGTGTGTGTGTGTGTGTGTGTGTTGGCACCTTTTTGAATACTAAAATTTTTGGTAGCACACTTGAAGAAATTAAAAGACCTAAAACAAAGTAGTGCTACTACAAAGTACTCTTTTTAAAGTTTTAAACCTCCAGATTGTGTGCCTTAACACGATCAGATTTTTTATATCTTTTTGCTTAAATAAGACTGGATGCTTGTAAAAGCACTCTTATATTGTGTTATGGCACTTTAAGTTCTTGCTTAGAAATGATCATTTCTTTATTGTGTGCTTCTTAAGAATGTTTCTGGTCAGTCACCTTTCCTTTCAAGGTCTTCCTTATTCAAACTAACTAGCATGGCTTTTAGGTCAAGATCACAGTCATTCCCTGGGGATACAAGAGGAAGGTAACTACTATGTGAACAGCTGTTTTGCCACACAAAAAAAATGCTAGAGGTGGCTGGGCGCGGTGGCTCAAGCCTGTAATCCCAGCACTTTGGGAGGCCGAGGTGGGTGGATCACGAGGTCAACAGATCGAGACCATCCTGGTCAACATGGTGAAACCCCGTCTCTACTAAAAATACAAAAAATCAGCTGGGCATGGTGATGCGTGCCTGTAATCCCAGCCACTCAGGAGGTTGAGGCAGGAGAATTGCCTGAACCCAGGAGGCGGAGGTTGCGGTGAGCCGAGATCGCGCCATTGCACTCCAGCCTGGGTAACAAGAGCGAAACTCCATCTCAAAAAAAAAAAAAAAATGCTAGAGGTGTTCATGGATTTTTAAATAAAATAAATATTGTAGAGTTAAATTGTTAAAAAGTCAGCAATCTTTCATCACAATGTGACAGTGTCTCCTGCAGTCTGTGGAGGTACATCCAGTTCTTCCCCCATTCCCTTGGTTCACTCACAACACATCTGACTGTAGGAACAGAATCACGTTCTGCCCTGTCCACAGCCACATTCTCAATATTTACAGATAGAGGTGGCACATGCTCCAGTAAACACTCCCTCTTTCTTGGTGCTAGTTAACAGGTGGTGCTAGTTAACAGGTGCTAGTTAACAAATAATGGTGGCACATGTTGCAGTAAACACTCCCTCCTTCTTGGTGCTAGTTGACAGGATATTGTGCTTTTTACCTTTTCCTTGCCACCTTCTGTTCCCTCCGTGACATTGTTCCAGCACCTGGTCAACTTAAAGTTCTGTCTGAAATCTACCTCTGGAATATAGGAATCTCAGAGTACGCTTTAATCTTACAAATTTGCTAAAACTTGGTAACAGATTTGTGAAGGATTCACAATAGGCCAATGTACCTTGGCAAACCAGTTGAGAACGCCTATATTTTTGAATCATAACAGACAAAGCCACTCCTTCATTTAAAGGGACAACTTTAAATAACTGTGACAAGAGTTTCAATTCCACGGCCTCTATCCTTCCCTAAAGAAAATATAGCCCATTTTCTGCAGGGGTGCAGAGCTCAGATACAGAGTCTGAAATAACTTCTAAAATTTGACTCCACCGTTTCTAGGCGTCCGTCCTCCTCCATGGCTTTCCTCCTGTATCGCTCAGCATTTTGTTTGCCCCTCAGCCGTAAGATGTGTTTATGTCTGTATCACACAGTAGATGGTAAGCTCCTCGAAACAAAGACAAACTATAACAATCTTTGTTCTCATAAATGCTATTAAGCTACACTGTAATTAGCGAGTTCGCAAAAGTAATAGTTAGTGATGGAGGCATAATGCTATAGAGGGAATATGGAGATGGAGGTCTGCAGACGGGCTGGGAAAACGGTCCAGGAGGTGACAGAAACGTCTCTCCCCCCAACCACAAGTCTATCAAATGAAGAGGATGACTATGCCACACATCAGAAGGGACAAATGGCATCATGTAAAGACAGGAACTTCATTTGTCCTTCCATTAAGACCACAAGATGTGGGTGACAGATTTTAGAAAGCCAGGAACCTCTCTGACATAGGAACTTGCCTGTGAGTCCTAGAAGGCCTGGGAGCCGGAAGGGGCAGGCCAGGAAGGCATCATCATTAGCTACTTAAGAGGAGGAGAAACTGAACATAGAGGCGACTTTACTACTCAGCCACCATGAACAAAATATCTAAATATCTAAAAGTGAAGGAATTTGCAGCATGACACATTTCAGCTCTATCGTCCAATGACTGACTGACTTATTATATGTAATTTCTGTTGACAAAACTTCTATTCTAATAAACTTACAGGATGAATGTTGGGAAGACTATATCCATTGACAAAAATGATTCCCTGCTATAGATGTCTCTCCCCAGGGTTGGGAGAAGAGACAGAATCTGCCTCAGTGGAAATTCTAGCTAAATCTAATTGACTCCGGGAAAAAATGCACTTATGTAGGTCTACACTCACCCGTGGCTAACCCAATAGACAATGTGAAGCATTTGTAGAATTGGGTTATATCCTTTTAAGTGCCCTAAGCTATTCTTCTTTCTCATTTCCTGTAAATGAAAAAGAAAAGGATCTTTTATCATACTCTTCCCTCAGGGGGAAATAATTAAAAGTCATTTATAAGAGTCTCATTTTATTATAACAAACATTTGCATGGTGTCTAGCATATAGCAGACACTGGGATAGGTTCTAAGGATTAAAAGATGGTTATGATTGGCACCTGCCCTCAAGAAACTGAAGAAACACTTAATGAATGTGTATGTTCTTCATGATTTCTTTCAGCTGCTTTCCTGTCTCCAATGTGCCCTCTAAAATTATCCTTTCTTTGTAAATAAACTATAGTTTACTTGACTTATTCACTTAAGACTTTATTTTTCTTTCTTTCATTTTTGTTTCTTCTTTTTGAGACATGGTCTTACTCTGTTGCCCAGGCTGGAGTGCAGTGGCACAATCATGGCTCACTGCAGCCTCCACTTCCCAGTCTCGAGTGATCCTCCCACCTCAGCCTCCTGCGTAGCTACAGGGATAGGCCACCACACCTGGTTAATTTTTTTTTTTTTTTTTTTTTGGTAGAGACAGGGTCACCCTATATGTTTCTCAGGCTCATCTTGAACTCCTGGGCCTGGGCCCAAGTAATCCTCCCACCTCAGCCTCCCAGTCTTCTGGGACTTCCTTTTCTTTCCTCCTCTTAACTAAGATTCGGCTTTCCCCTAAAGTCTCAGAGTCCTGTAGATCCCACTTTTTTGGAATATGTTTATTCTGTCACAGTTCATGTACCTAGAAGCCAGAAGTTGAGGTGAGAATTTGTCTAGTTTCTCATTGCCATATTTAAACCACTACTCCTCCATTCATGTAAAATTTCTCCTACTTTAAAGTTCGATACCAATAACAACATCACTATACTTCTCTTCAATTCTTACAACAAACCTGGTGAAAATTGTATTCAGTTATGAAAAGGCTGAGTTGCCTGCAGGACATTTCAGAGAAATATCAAGTAGGTAGCTGGATATTCACATCTAGAACCTAAGAGAAACATCTGGGTGGTGCTCGAAATTGGAAATCACCAGTTTATAGCTTTCAAAGGAGACTGAGAAGGAGCAGTTTAGAAGTGGAGGGAGCTGAGAGAAGTGGTTTTATAGGAGCTCAGATGGGAAAAGTCTTTAAATGAAAAGAAAAATGAACCGTGTCATATGTTGTACACTGTACAGATAAACACTGGAAAATGTCCATTAGATCTAATGATTAGTTGGCCATTTGATACTTTAGTGGAAACATTTTCAATGAAATAGTTGGTAGGGAGTCAAAGTACAAGGGATTTAAAGATTAAATACAAACATACAATTAAGCTGGGCATGGTGGCTCATGCCTGTAACCCCCGCACTCTGGGAGGCTGAGGTGGGCAGATCACCTGAGGTCAGGAGTTTGAGACCAGCCTGGCCAACATGGCAAAACCCCATCTCTACTAAAACTACAAAAATTAGCTGGGTATGGTGGCAGGCACCTGTAATCTCAGCTACTCGGGAGGCTGAGGTGAGATAATCGCTTGAACCCAGGAGGCAGAGGTTGCAGTGAGCCAAGATCATGCCATTGCAATCCAGCCTGGGCAACAAGAGTGAAACTCTGTCTCAAAAAAGAAAGAAAAAGAAGAAAGAAAGAAAGAAAGAAAGAAAGAGAGAAAGAAAGAAAGAAAGAAAGAAAGAAAGAAAGAAAGAAAGAAAGAAAGAAAGAAAGAAAGACAGAAAGACAGAAAGAAAGAAGGAAAGAAGGAAA